GTAATTTCTTTTCATATTTAAGTGATCAATAAGCCTTTGGTTTTCTTAATGCCACGGTTCTTTCCAAAGGTGGTTTTTGTGTGAACCGGGTGACTTTTCCCAACGATGGATGGCGTGACAACCTTCTTAAGGGATTGAGTCCGTTTTTGATATTTAGATAAGAACAGTAGTAATAATGAATAAGAGGACCTAATTGAGTCGAAATAGAAGAGTCAAGCATGCTTCACTTGGTACCAACATACTTAACTACATGCTTATGATAAAAATAAGTTCTTGGAAAGAAATAGCTCTAGTTAGTGACCTTTTGACTCTTGTGTTGACTTAAGCAATCATCGAGTGGTTTAGTTGAACCATTAGTGATTTTCAATCTCGAATATGGTTGTTTTGGGCCCTCGACTCTATCATCTTGAACAATCCAGCTGTGTGAGAGGTGGTATATTTTGTTGCAAGTCCAAGTACCCATGCAAATGGTCTAGAACTTGCCCCGAATGTGTTTCTAGGCGAAATTCTAAGTTTTGCTTGGCTTGAGAAGTGATTGTAGGCTCTCCTTGACCCGTTTTAAAATTTTCCTTGACTCACCAATGTTGTTATCTCTAGTCAACCCTTTTGAGCTTAAAACCTCTCTCATTTGATAACCATGTTACAAGCCTTTACCCATTTTGTAGTGATCCTCTCTTGGCACCCGAGCTTTTCTTAACACTCTTGAGAAACAATTGGCTAAAACATAAGTTTAGGGGAGAGACGAGAAATTTGAAAGTGGTATCAAGGTACAAAAAGAGAAAAGAAATGAAGAAAAGGAAAGGCAAAGAAAAAGAAAGAAAGAACAAAAGGAAAAAAAATGCAAAAAGAAAGTGAATAAGTTGAAGAGTTGAAGGGATTCAAAGAAAAGCAAAAATGCAAAGCATGGAGAAAAAGAAGAAGGAGAAAACGAATATCATGACCAAGAAAGAGTGATGTTAAGTCTCTCTAGTTCCCTTAAGGGAAAAAAATGACTCAAAGAGTCGGCAAAGCATGAGCCAAAAAGAGAAAATTGAGTGCTTAAGGAAAGATGAACCCGTTCTATTTCAACATTTTCTACCTTAGTCCAAAAGCCTTTATTATATTCCGAAAAAGCCCTACGTGATTTCAAGCCGAGTGAACTTATATTAGTGGTGATTTACATGGGGGCAAGCATATGGTACTTAGAGCCATACTTGTGACATTCTTTTGAGAGGGATGAACGGACTTTTCACAAATCCTTGAAGTGAGTGCTACATTCTTAAGTGAGATATGCTAACGGAGAGTAGAAGAGGAGGAGTTTGGGATTAACAATGACCTGCATGAAAGAGCAAACTTCCTTGATGAGTAAAGTCAACTCTTGATACTCTAGTGTCACATTAGAACTATTTGTGCTTAAAACTTCAAATTATTGCCTTGTTAATAATTCATAAGTGTTGTGGGTAATTGTTGGTCCCAATTAATGTGTGTTTGATTCACCTTAGATTAGCTGGAATAACTCTTATCTTGTGGAGGTGTGAATTACCTTATTTGCTTGAGGACAAGCAAAAACATAAGTTTCGGGGAATTGATAAGTGAGAATTTTTGAATACTTAATAGCGCCTTTTAGCTTTCGTTTTAGTCCAAAAGTGTCTAATTGTATTCCCAAAAACTGATGAAATATGCTTACCTGCAAGAGTATTGGAAAATGAGCCACTACGATGAAATCCAACTCAAGGAGGAGTGATCTGAACAAGGACAAAAATTAGGCACAGAAGCTCAAGTGCGGACCGTAGATTTTTATCTAAGGCCGCAGAATGTGAAAGAAAATCAACAGAGCCCCAGTGCAAAGTGCGGACCGCACAATTATTGTGCTGCCGCAGAAGCTACGTAAGAGCCAAAGTTTAGAGAGTTTCATTTCAAGCTCAAGAAGAAATATGGACCGCCCAATAATTGTGCGGCCGCAGAAATAACTATGCAACTGCACTCAGGAAATGTGCGGTCCGCAGAAGAGCCCAGTGCGGCCACACCCAGAATTGTACGGACCGCAGAACATGAGAGATGCGGCGGAAATATAGAATTGTGCGGCCGCAGAGTCAACTCCTATCAAGATCTGAAGAGAAGTACGGACCGCACATATAATTGTGCGGCCGCACAACCTCCAAAAGGGCAATTTTGTCCGAAAATTCCAGCTTTGTATAAATAGACTACTTTCACGAAATTAGGTCAAGTTTTGAAATATTGAAAGTCCTATAGCCGTTTTTACTTGCTTCTTTAGGAAACTTTAGCTTATTTTGGTGATTTAACATTGGATTTTTATCTTTTAATCTTGCAATATGAGTTTTATCATCTTTTCTTCTCTATTTTCCTCTATACCCATTATGAGTAGCTAGATTTCTAGCTAGGGTTGTGACCCAATCCTAGTGTGTAAACCTAATGGGTGTTTGATTTATGGCGTGTTTATGGTTGGGTGTTTATTATTTAGCCTTCTTGCCTTTAAGTGTAGAATTAACGGTTGCAAATATTAGTTTATGCCTATTTGACTTGGTCTCTACTTGAGAAAGAGAGACTTAGTCTAGGAAAACTTCGCTAACAGTAATTTGGGATGAAATCAAGAGATTGATAGTCCCAATTAAAGGGTTGAACCTAGAGATAGTAAAATCCGACTTCAGCATTTTATCAATTGTTTTGTTCAATATCCATTTGGACTTGAGAAAGACAAATTGGGCAAAATCACTTTCTTACCGAGAGGTATTGAGTGGGTATTTGAGTGTTGATTGCTATAATATACCCCGATCAATAAAATAAGCTTTAAAGTTTACAACCCGTTAGGCAAACACCTAGGTGAAAGTCATACCCCTAGGATTTTTATATATTTGAAAACCATCCAAAAATAATTTTCTCTAGTTTTATATCTTTAGAATTGTAATCCTTAACGTAATTTTAGAAGTGAAAACAAAACCATATTTGTGGAAGTGCAACCAAGATACTTCACGTGCTTTATCCAAATATATATCACTAATCCTATCTCAGCTCCCTGTGGATTCGATCCATCGAATCCTTATTGGGTATTATTATTGCAATCGACCGTTTCACAACCCCGAATAGAGGTGTGACTTGGAGGAGATCAGTATACCCAATCATCTATCTCAACAGCCTCATTTCTGCTACTTTCATTTTCTGTACATGTGAGTTCTTAATTGGCCAACACTCCTCCCCATATAGCATAGTTGGTCAGACCACCACTTTGTAAGATTTACCTTTAAGTCTCGGTAGCACATTCCTATCACTTAAGACGCCAGACGCAAGCCTCTATTTCATCCATCCCGCTCCAATACGATGTGCAACATCCTCGTCAATCTCCCTGTTACCCTGGATAATAGACTCGAGATATTTGAAACTATCTTTCTTGGAGATAACTTGAGTATCAAGCTTCACATCCACGTGTGACTCATAAGCCCCGCCACTGAATCTGCACTCTAAGTATTCTGTTTTAGTCCTTCTCAACTTGAAAGCTTTAGACTCCAAGGTCTGTCTCCAAACCTCCAACCTTGCGTTGACCCCGCTTCACATCTTGTCGATCAATATTATATCGTCGGCAAATAGCATGTAACATGGAACTTCCCGCTATATGTGCCGCGTCAGCACATCCATCGTCAAGGCAAATAAAAATGGGCTAAGAGCCGATCCCTGGTGCAGCCCCATCACAACTGAAAAGTGCTCCGAGTCTCCTCCTACCATCCTCACCCGAGTCTTACCACCATTGTACATATCCTTAATCACCCAAGTGTACGCTACCGGCACGCTGCTAACCTCCAGACACATCCACAAAACTTCCCTTGACAGTTTATCGTACACTTTTCAAGGTCGATAAATACCCTATGCAAGTCCTTTTTCCTTTCCCTATACTGCTACACTAATCTCCTCACCAGATGAATAACTTCCGTAGTCGAGTGCCCCAACATGAATCTGAACTGGTGCTCGAAAATAGACACACTCCTCCTCATCCTGACTTCCACCACCCTCTCCCAAATCATCATAGTGTGGCTCAACAACTTTATACCCCTATAATTATTGCAATTTTGGATATCACACTTGTTCTTGTACAATGGAATCATTGTACTTCACCTTCATTCCTCGAGCATCATTTTCATCTTAAAAATTATATTAAACAACCTAGTGAGCCACTCCAAACCTGCTCGACCTGTGTTCTTCCAAAACTCCACTAGGATTTCGTCTGGCCCCTACTCATCTTGCGCATAGCCCCTTCCACCTCATCCACCTTAATACGCCTACAATAACCAAAATCCCGCCGACTCTCGGAGTGCTCCAACTCACCTATCGTAATACTTCTGTCCCCCTCCTCATTCAACAGTCTATGGAAGTACATCTGCCATCTGCATCTAATATGTGCCTCGTCCATCAATACTCTGTCGTCCTCGTCCTTAATACATGTCACCTAGTCCAAGTCATGGGCCTTCATCTCCCCCACCTTGGACAACCGGTACAACTTCTTATCTCCGCCTTTGCTCCCGAGTTCCTCGTATAGACGCCCAAACGCCGCGGTCTTAGCCGCTGTGACCGCTAATTTTGCCACTTTTCTTGCCTTCTTATAACATTCTCAATACATCCCTTTTTCCTCCTCGTCTGTACTCTCTACTAGTTTCAGAGAAGCCGCTTTCTTTGCTTTCACTATACCTTGGACCTCTCCATTCCACCATTAATCCCCTTTGTGGATAACCCTTCGTAACCCCTAAGACCTCTCTCGCAGCTTCCCGAATGCAATTAGCAGTCATGGCCCACATACTAGTTGCATCTCCTCTACTCTCCCAGGCCCTCACAGCCAGAAACTTCTCCCCCAACTCTTGAGCTCTGTCCTTAGTCAAATGACCCCATTTGATCTTAGTTTGCCTGCACACCGCCCTCTTTCTCTTGCTCCACTTGATCTCTTGGTCCATTACTAGGAGTCTATGTTGGGTCGTGATGTTCTCACTCGGGATGACCTTGCAATCAATGCATAAACCTTAATCACATTTTCTGTAGAGGAGGTAATCAATCTGGGTCTTAGCTACTGAACTCCAGAAGATGACCAGGTGCTCCTCCCTCTTCGGAAAACTCGAGTTAGATATCACCAAATCAAAAGCACTAGCAAAATCCAATAGTGTGGAGCCCCCCTCATTCTGATCCCCAAAGCCGAACCTACCATGCACATTGTCATAACCCCTAGCATCAGCCCCAATATGACCATTAAAATCCCTACCATTGAACAACTTCTCGATGTGTGGGATACCGCGTACCACTTCATCTAAATCCTCCCAGAATTGTCTCTTGACCTGCTAGTCCAAGCCTACCTGAGGAGCGTACGCGCTAATGACGTTTACAATAAACCCTCCTAACTACTATCTTAATACTCATCAATCTATCATTTACCCTCCTAACCTCAACCATGAGCTCCCTGAGGTCCCTGTCAACTAAAATACCCACCCCATTCTTGTCCCCAGTGCCTTCTGAGTACCAAAGTTTAAACCCGTCCACATCCCGAGCCCTCGTACCTACCGATCTAGTTTCCTGGATGCATGCTATGTTGATCTTCCTCTCCTGAAGAATCTTACCTAACTCTACAGACTTCCCTGTCAAAGTCCCTATGTTACAGGACCCAATTCTCATCCTGGAGGCTCCCTTATCCCCTTTTTCGCCCTTAGTCCCTGCCCCCGCCACCCCTGAGGACATGACCTTACTCTTCCATCGTTCACCACAGCCACTATAGTCTAAGTGGTCTTAAATAATCACTAACACTCAAATACCAAATAGCGAAAATAAAGGAATATAAGCTACGAATTCGAAAGCTTAAGAACCCAAACGAAACTACAAGTAAGCAAATAAGAATTCTACTAAAAGATAAGGCACCAAACAATATTTCAGACAAACAAATAGGCACTGTACTAAAACTAACTAATGCAATTATGTAACTCGCAGGAAAGGAAAACAAAGGAAGACAAGATATCCGGAGGTACCAACTCCGGGTGGGTAGAACCTGGATTATTGATTTGGATGACAAAGCGTTGTTACAATACATGCCTGTGTCAATTTCTGGCCTTCCACACACTGCCACACGCCTCCGCTGCCGCTGGTCGTCACCGTCGAGTTGGTACCTGCACACAGCTGCCGGGCCCTCTACAAGAGGAAAAAAGAGGCGATCTGGAGAGCAGCGACAATGCTCCTTGGCCTATATCTGGGTCGCCGTAACCTTCTTGAGAGAATGGTAGAAGAAAATGGAGGAAGAAAGGCAGGGCGGACTAGGGATGGATAGAAAAACGAAAGAAAAGGGAAGGATAAAATGGAGAAAGAGCGAGGGAGGGGATGAAAACAGGGGCGAATTGTTTTTTTGTGGG